GGACGATAAGAAGGCTATTTCCATCAGCCCGGGTCTAGAATTTCCATTCTTCTTGGCTAGTCTCACCACTTGTTAATTCAACATATTTTTGAACCTCAAGGACTGCTTGATGGAGTCCCATTCCCGGCTATCAGGGTTTCTGTGGTCGGGGCCTTGTTTTCTGGTACATCCTACGCAATGCTATTTCTTCCGCGAAGTAACTCGCTAGATTCCCAAGTCATGCTCCGGATTACAGTACGCTCAGAATACAACATATCAAGGAGTATTCTTACGTTCCCATCTGATTTCAGTAAATGACTAGCAGATAAGACATCCTCTACGTCGGTAGCGTTATTGAGCATCATACAAGGTAGTCTTGGGTGATTTTGATGCTTGGAGTCTTTTCCCTGAGTGAGCCGTGTGAGCGCCAAAGGCTCTATTTTGAGAAATCCTAGCTTCTTGCTTAACTCTTCTCATATCATCCTGTCAATTTTGTCCTGTGGGCTGAAGGGAAGGTCAGGACTGTCTTTAATGTTTTTTTATGAGAGAACCGTCACGAACCATTATTGTTCTACCAGGCTTCCGGTGCGTTCAGGTTGGGAACCTTGTTGTTTGGAGGTCGAAGAGCGTTTCCGATTCCTAGGCTCTTCCATGACCGGTTGAACATTCTTGATGGTAGATTGTACGGCCAAATCACCTATTGATTTCACTACAGTACCTTGGATTCTCAGCTGCTTAGACGGTGACACCCGGTCCTTTTTAACTCCGTTGACGGAGTCCAAACACCTACAGAGTTTTCGGGGACCACCATTACACTCAAGGATGCCATGCTGGGGGACTCAAGTTTACTGAGGGAGTCTAGTACCGTCGATGTTATGATGATGGTGAGTTTCATCATGTCCTCACTACTTTCATCACATTCTCTGTCGATAATAGCGTTGTCGAGATCTCCCTTCTTGTCTTCATTGCGCGTCTTTGCTTGTTTACCTGTTTTAGGACTACCTTTTCTTAAGTTTTCTGTGAATGTTTTCCGCACACTCGTCAAGAGAATGATGTTGTTGCTCAGCAAAACCTCAGCACTCATGTTGCACATACCATATACACACCTACGATCTGACTGACTAGGTCTATAATAGCTTTAATTGATGAGTTAGTTGACCTCAAACAACAAAGTATATGTCAAAACAATAGGGCTCAAGTATTCATTTACTTCTTTATCTCAAATGGGCATCATATTTCCTATTATGTTATGCTGAAAGTTGTACAGCTTTGTGCGTTTGAACAGGTAGATCCCTGCTCCATTAACACTGTTTCGCGATCTAAATAAAGACCTATTCACTGATATTCTTGTTTCTTCTATCGATGGAATGAGGGTTACCTATTGGCACGAAAAGTCTATTTTAAGCAGTTACAGTAAGATCTGTGTATGCTTTGTGGAACCAACCTTTGCAATTGTAACACTCCATGCCAGAGTTAACAGCCAAACGGCATCCGGGTCGCTTGCATGAATCCTTCATGACCATGGTGCTGCAGATTGTTTTATAGACCTTAGCAAATGTCTACGGCCGTAAAATAGAAAAACAGTACACTAAAAAACGGATTAAATGTATGAAAACGGGTTATGCAAACATTTAGGATAAACTGAGACTAGCCTTAACGTGAAAAATTGAAAAATCAAATAGTTAACCGAGGGAAAACCACACTTAACTACTAACTAGCGAAAACTGAAAAAGAAAAGTAATCTACCAGACGTAAAGCTCAGGACAGATCCTTTGGATCAAAAATGGTACTGTTGTTGCGTAAGGACACAGAAGTTTGGGAAATGCAAATCACGTTAGGACTAAACCTGTATAGGAAATTCTAACCCCATCTGAGCTTCCTGAAGTTTGAACCACTTCGAGAAGATTCTACTCACATTAATCTCTTGACTCATATGACACACGGCCTGGAATATTGAAAGGGTGTGACGAGGTTTTAATTTCCCTCTTGGTGCTCCTTTCAAGTGTTCCTTATGTATTTGTATGCTGTCTCATGGCTGGGTAAAAGTGGTAGTTATAGCAATATGCAACGACGGTTACAAGGTAGAGGCGTCTAATTATTGAGAGGTTTCCTGCTCTTCACAGAAGCGAAGATCATGGAAAGGGCCATTATTAGGTTTTTCTCTAACTCCTAAAACAGAAAATCCATTTTTACTGCGTCAAAGTATGTCTTTCTATCCCATTAAGTGGAATATCCAGACACTTCACTTAAACATAACCTTCCAGTGCATTTTTGCCTCTGAGACATCTCCAAGGCATTCGTCAGGGTTCCCGCTGCATTCTTTCTTAGAAACAAAACTCTGAGGGTTGAATGAGGTGTTTGATTATGTGGCTCTCAGATCACAGGAGACCCAAAATTTTAATAGTCTCGTCCGTAGACGATGCAGATGACACGTACTGTTGAATGGGACTTGAGAATGAGGTCTCTGGTGCATCTAGCCTGGGATCCGAAGTAGATGTAGAGATCCTGCTAGAAGATTTGATGGGTCTAGCATTGAGTCTCGCATTATCAGGTAGAGCACTGTCATCGAAGTGTGCTGGCTTGAGATGATCAATGCTGACTATCTGGACACTGCCATGTCGATCAACCTTGAAGGTCTTTTCGTGACGGGACGTCACGTGAAAATGGCCCTCGTAGGGCTGTTGGCTCGGATTGACCCTCAGCTGTCGTGTACCATAGGTAGGACTGACGGAGGCATTTGCAGCGCGTAGTCAAATCATAGTACCATTAGGTACTACAGAAACTTGGGCACCTGTATCCACAAGGTACCTAGCGTTACTGCGATAATCGTGCACATAAAATAAACGGCGAACCTGAGATGAAGGGCCGGCGAGTACGGACGTATTTACTCGCCAGTTTGGTCGTGCCCCGTGTTGTATGAATAGGGAGACCGACAATGGCGGGCACCGGCCTCGAAGGCACGGGGGAACCATCACCAACCCGAACTGGCTTCCGAAGCCGCCTTTTGGAAGACGCCCGCTTAGGGCGAGTCGATACGGCTTTACGGGAACGTGATCTAGGTTGGGGGACGTAGAGGTCTGGCACATTTGATCAGTCTCGGAAGCTGAGACGGGTGTGGATATACTTATCCCTATCCCTATGAGTGATAGGTCGCCTAGCATTGAGGTCGATGTTTGAGTGTGATGTTGAGGCAACTATATAGTTGTCTCGGATGCTAGTTCGTGCTAAGATTTTATCTGCTATGAGGGCCACCTTGTTGAGTGGGGTGTCCTCGAGCAGAGCCGTAAGGGTTAGTTGGATACTAACTGGTAGAGATTTGAGCCACAATTCTTTGGCAATCTCTGAGTCCGCTGTAGTATTTCCTGCGAGAGATTGCAGGCGCATGAGGCGGTGGCTCGGTTTAGCATCACCCATAGGGTGACGTGCTAACAAGGTCCTCATTCGTTCCTCTCTTGACGGGAGAAAGTGTCTAAGGAGTGCTTCCTTGAGACGATCGTAAACGTTTGGTACATTTGAATTGAGGACAACCTCACGAACAGCGGCTAAGTGATCCCCGGGTAAAGATTCCAGAGCGTAGGCATATTTTTATCTTTGGTTGGTTATGTGGCGGATCTCGAATTGAGAATTCAGTGCCGCGAACCAAACTTCTGGATCTTGGGGGATAATAGAACCCGGTCGAAAGCTAATTGCCTGTATTTCCGAGTCTATTATATTAATACTATTCTTATCTTTATCTACTATATTAAGTTGTTACCAGAATATTATATATTGAAAAATGTCAATACGAATACGTGTAACAGAAGTGGACTCACCGTTGCGATCCTCTTTGGAAGATTTGTCGAAGGTTGAACTGTGTCCGAAAAGTTGGCTTACCACTTGTAGATGACGTCCAGTCGTGATTGACTATGATCACCACTACAGTAAAATTACGCGCCCAAAAACGAATTGGTTCCTTTGATAGCTCGTAAACTAGAAGGTTGTTAATAGTCCAGATAAAGTCTGTCTATTGGAGATCTCGTGGTATCGAAAGAATGCCGAGACGTGCCAAATGGTACAGGCAAAAAGGAAAGGAAAGTTCGAACGGACAAGAAGGACAACGGAACGAAAAGTGATTTTGACACAGCTAATCAACAACGCGTACAGAAAAACAATCACTAATACAATTGGTTATAATACTAATTGTTTCCATTACACCAATCGCGTTCTCGTCGAGAAAAGCAAATCACTACATGGTTATGACGTATCATATCGTTCTCTACCAGAACGATCAGTAGTGCGTTTCAGTAATAAACCATAGCTTAGAGGAAAACCACTCAAGATAGAACATTCCTAATGACCAATTTTTAAAGAGGAAGTTCGAAGACCATTTTAATTCCATAGGCACTGACGGGGATCACTCTAAGTGTTACCCCTCGATCACTTCTAGAAATAACTGGAATATCCTACCTCTCACTTTCTACTGGAAATATAACGAGAATCACAAGAACACACTCCAGCTACCTAGATGCCGATCTCAAGGGACAAACAGTTCTCTAATTCTTCCAGGCGAAGTAAAAGTGTTTCAAGGGATACCTAAGGGTATTTGTGATGATAAGGAGTACTTGAATTACGGTACAAACTGGGGATCCCAGAAGTAACATAATCTAATCAAGAAGTATTAGATGAGCACGAACGAACGTATTGTATTTGGAATTCGAAATCAAGCAGTCCTCAAATACAAATGAGTCATTAATTCATGCAAACACCACAGTGTTTATCATGCTATAAGTCATAACTGAGCCAACCATATCTTATAGGATATAATTTCAGTGCATTCAAATGTTCCTGGGGGGATTTGAACTGGAGGCATTGAACTGTTTCCGTGATCTAATCGGTCGTTTACCGTCTGTTGTCAAATAGACCGCGTAGTTGTTCGTGACTTCATAGAAGTATGTCCTGAACGCATTAATCTTGAATCTGATAATTATATTATTCCCGATTATGGAAAACCGTTTTGTTTTTGTTTCTTTGGTTGTGAAGTTACTCCCTCCCTTGGCGCACCTTGTTTCGTTTGTGATCAGCTGTACCCGTGGAGTTTAAGCTTTGTTTGGTGGTTCTATGGATCACTGCGAGATTTACTCAACTCGAGGTAGCGCCTTGGAATCAGCAGTCACTTTACCTAGAAGGTACGCACAGTAGAATGTCGTGAGACATGCAGCACAATTGTGTTGATGGTTAGTCATCAACTCATTACTATCCCCCGTGTTCCCGGGATTGAATGGTCACTCGGTAACTTTCTGAGAGTTTTCCGGGGGACCATATGTCTCGGTAAACCATACTTTATACGAAAAAGGTTACAAAGTTGTAAAAGAAGTGCTTGTTTATGGTGACATTATTAATGGTCCAACCTGTAGATATCCAGTGGTCTGCATTTTGTAGGGACTATGTTTTTGCCTGATGAAAAACCTGCTTATAGTAGTTTGAAACACATTTCTCATATACTTTAGGGCCTAAGGCCGGTTTATTAATGGTGGTTTATTTCTGATATTAAACGCGATGGCATATTTTCGGTTTTTCAGACATAGCATCTTGGTCTGTTTAGTCTAACCTTATATTTGTCGCATTACAAACACAGATCTTCAACGTCTAGTATTTTAAGCTATCTTGACTCAAAATCTTGGTTTTCTATCAATTTATCCATGTATTTACTGGTGAAAACCAACAAAACCATGCACCTCATTTAATATATACCTTAAGGTATGCTTCATTTATGTGGGTTTTTATGGCGTAGCTCTGATTGTTTTCCTATCTGCTGACTTGCAGCTATTTTTAGTCTCTTATCAGTGGTGTTTAAGTCTTGGTTTTTCTGCATTTATTCAACCTGAACAACATTGTTTAATGTAGCAATTGTTTCTGGTTTCAAGATCATAATACGTGTTCTCATGTTCTTACTGATTATACTCGATTATGTATCGCCGAACTAATTTAGGTAATGTACGACTAGCTCATGATCTCATCAAACAACCAAATTAACTAGGAAGTAATGTCGCCGTAAAATTTAACGTTTACTGTAGACACCCTTGTTCTTAGTGTGATCACAAACAGATCAATGTGAGACCACTATTGATAACCTGGAAGCATTAGACGGCCGTTTCGTCCTGGTGTGTGAAACTTTCGTATGTACCCAAAAAGTAATGTTTCGTTTCAATGTTGTTCGTCCGGGTCGGGAAACTTAATTGTAAAGCGTTTTCATGTTATGTATCACTCGATTTTTCCCCTAAATATTTAGTAGTTTATTTTATTTATTTTATTTTATTTAAACACATAAAAATTGGTACAATGAAGCACCAGATAAATATGCGCCTCACAAATCTCATTCGATTTGTGTGAGGGCTGTGATACTGCCCAGGTGCCCAGACTGAAGCAGGTGGTTTTCTTAGGGGGCCACACCCGGAGCCTTTGACCTGAATGTCTGATCCACAAGGCAGTGGAGCATCGTAAGGAGATGCAGTCCCATGGTAGCCGTTGACCAATGACAGGTTCGTCCGCCATTCGTTCCATCAGGATACTGGAGCCCATGTGCACCATTGGTTTGGAATCAAGGTTTTCCAACTCCCCTAGGTGGACCCTCCGTGTCCACCAATCCGGTTATAGCGCCGGACATTCGCTTTTCGTCCTCTCACTTTTGTGAACAACACCCCCGCCACGAGAAGGCAGTGAGTAGGACTTGTGTGGCAGAGGCTATATATTCGCTGGCCATGTGAGAGCATTTCGAGAGGGAGAGTAGACTCTCCCCACTCTCTGCCGTACCAGGGCATTTGGGGGCAATATTTAGTAGTAATTATTTACTGTAATACCAAGGGACAAAACCTTTTCACTTGTTTATGGTAAGTAGATATTTATAGCACGATTGACTACAGCGATAGGTTTTTCTGTAACATCTGGTTCAAATCACATAGTGTAGGCAAGTTTGTGTGACTTCTTAAATAATCAGTCAGTTGTATAAACAACAAAATTTAAGATATAAGGTTTCATTTATATGTCCTTACAGTCAAACTTAATTTAGTACTTTTTGTCGTGTAGTCATGGAAAACTCAAACGGGACCAAGGGGAACTTATGGATGATGCTGTAAAACTTTCTGCTGTGAGTTAACTTTGATTTGAGTCCAACCATATATGATTTACTTTTTGAGATTATTTTGTGTTAATATCCTTCTGATCCAATAAACAGTCCAACTAAATTCAATTCTATATTTTGTAGCTGAGTACTCAAACCACCAAAAACGATTGATAAAAATGGAAGTAACCACTCTCGATTTCTAACAGTTCAGCTGGTTAGGTAAATATCCTGATTAGCAGTAGGTGATTTCAAATAGTTCAGTAAGGCAAATCAACTTTATTATTCTCCTTATTTATGTACATTTATTTCAGACTCAATATCGTTTCGTTATATAAACTTGTTGAACGGTGCTCTTTATAGATCTTCACTATTTGAATATTTATCTAGTTATACCACTGGGATCTTAGTAAATGCTTTCCGGTAGTGCGTCAGAAATCTGTTCATATTCATCGTCGTTATTTGTTATCTCGAAATAGACAAAATTGATTCTTTGGCAGCTACATCAGTTTCTTTCTAAGAAATTTTTACTTTATCTAGGATAAATCAAAATCTTTTAACAACTTATAGACATTGGGTTAGATATCGCCCCCAAATGTGGTATCAGTGTGTCGTGCTTGATTCTTGGTTTTGGTGGCTACAATATTATTTAAAAGTCTAATGCACTACTTGGAGCGGATTTATTTATTTATTTATTTAAACACATATATATTGGTACAAAAGGGCACCAGATACACATGCGCCACACAAAATAATGAAAGTAGGAAGAGAAGGGATGAAAAGATAAGGCGGACTGAAATGTACAACCAGAAGACTCTTTCAGTTAAGAAAGTTAGAACCACTCTTTATGTAGAAAGTAAAAGAAGGTTGCAGCAGGATCGCCACTGGCTTCTATTCTGAGCCATATCTGATAACGTCTCTAGCCACTGTGTTGCACCATCTCTCGGACCCCAGCCAGGGAGTCGTGAAGGACCAACAGAAGCTAGCCCTTTGCAGCTTTCTTTCATGCCACGACACCATGTTATACACTGACCTCCTCTCCGCTTTTTCCAACCAGTCCCAGAGTCGGCAAATAATGCACGACGCGGAATTCTCTGGGACGACATTCGTAGAACATGTCCAAGCCACCGAAGTCGATGTTTCAAGATAACGACACCAATTGAATTATCGTCTCTGCGCCCGAACACACGATGCCGAACCTCTGCATTACTAACATGGTGCTGCCACTGAATGTCAGCAATCCTTCGGAGACAACGATGATCGAACACAGAGAGACGTCTAACATCCTCAACTCGGAGAGGCCAGGTTTCACAAGCATAGAGCAAAACTGCTCTCACCGATGCGTTGTAGATCCGACCTTTTACAGCCAGACTAACATCACGAAGACTTCAAAGATGGCCCAGATTGGCATAAGCCGCTCTGGCTTTCATTATACGTGCATCAATCTCATCACTCACGCCACCACCAGCACTTATATAGCTACCTAGATACACGAACTTCTCAACTACTTCAATCTGCTCACCATCCAGGGTGAGTACAGGATGAGAATCCTGCCAGTCTTGTAGGAGTACTTTGCACTTGGAGGGTGCAAAGCACATGGCGTACCTGCGGACACTGATTGCCACCTTGGAGCGGAACAAAACATGAGGCTATTAGTTATTGGTTCAAGGCCCGTGGATAGATGGAAATTTTACTAAAGCTCACAAGATATCAAAAGTCTGAGTTTGAGGACCTGTGGAGTGATTGATCACAAACAAAAACTAGTATTTATTATGCTTCTAAAAAGCAAGCATCTTGCGCCATTTAGTTGTATTTATTTTTCCTTCTACTTCATTTGTTTCTCACCAATTATCTGATCATGTGATTGGAGTAGGGAATTCCTGTCTAGTCACTTGTCTCAGGTTGTACATTGGTCTACTGAGTTTTATGAACACTTCTATATTTACGGCCGCCCATCTGGAGGCGTGACGACATCGGAGGTAGAAGTAGGTTAGAAGAAATCTGGGAGGCGTCAGACCAGTTTATAAAATCATTGACTGTTGGACTAAAACCTATTAGTAAACGCGGACTATCTTGTTAGGATCCGGGCAATAACTGCGACTATTGGTTGGATACATTGGGTGTTATAGCTTAGAAACTATTGCAGTGACACAGATACATTCACTCTTTTCCCTTAAATCCTGAGTTCCCATATTACTTCATAGATGTCTTTTTAAACCATGTTCTCGATGTTTAGTATCTCAATATTGTTCATGCTACTATTATTTTGAATCATTTGCTACGTATCTTATTAGTTTCATCTCTTTGTTCCGATATTTAGTGATTTAACATTGGCGCTAGGCTATTCATTGGTAATGACTTACTATACTATTAATTCGAGTTGGTAAAGTCATTAGATTTTTCATCAGATTGTTATTCCTCTCTAAATATATCATTTTTTCATGTGATGTTTTCCACTATAGATATGGATTTGGTGACAGCTCTCGTTGTTCCTATTAAATATTCGGTGCTTTTTACTTTTTTAGATTAAAATTTCACGACATTCACAACCATTAGATTCAGATGGTCTAACCGTAATAAACACATCTGAAACAAACGCCATGAGTGTTTTACCTCGTCTACTTCGAACTATGACAAGCAGAAATCCTCAGGCAGCTAATGACAATCGATCTGGCGTTGAAAATAATCAAATTTCAAATGGTGAATTATGCTTTTCAGTATCTATCCCTGGATCAGCTGTCAGTGATAGTGATTCTTCATCTTCATCTTCCTCTTTTATGTCAACTCCATCTTCCGGTTCATCATTGATTTCGTTTCTTTCTCCTGGACATTTAGGACCTGTTGCTGCTATGGCCGCTGTAGCGTTGTCAACTGCTGTAACTACAATGTCTGTAAATGATATTCAAGAATCTTCAGGTCTAGTAACTTTAGCAACTGCTAGTAGCCTAATTGAAAAAGAATGGCGTGCACGTGCTTCGGTTGTTAATAGTAATAATGAAAGTGTAAATAATGTAAAAGAACATGCTGAAACTGCACTTACTGTCCAACATCATACTGATTTATTAACATCTACTATTCAGGGAAATATTGATAGAAATCAACAATTCGCTTTGGATGGTTCACCACCTTTAGTAATTGGAGCTTTAAATACTTCACCATCACAGTCCTTATTAAATGAATCGACTCCAGTGACCAGAGCTGTGTTGAACGTCCAAAGTAAGAAATTCCTTATGTTACTTTGTGGAAATCTCTTGTATCAATGTATTTCTTATTTACTATTTTGTAAAAAAATCGAATGAGATTTGTGAGGCGCATATTTATCTGGTGCTTCCTTGTACCAATATTTATGTGTTTAAATAAATAAATAATTTTGTAAACGATAGTTCACAAATGCCTTAACCTTGATTATTCAAACAAATAAGCATTACTGTATGTTCCGTCGACTTTTCAAATCTGTAAATTTTCTTTGACGTTTCAATGAACAGTAGGTGTTTTGTCTTGAAAAGAATTTAATCCGGATGGCCAGTAAGCAAGTTAATCTGTTTCAAACAGACGTCTTAATATATAGCTCACTCCCACTCCTGACAATAGACTTAACTCCCAAATGCCCTGGTACGGCCGAGAGTGGGGAGAGTCCGCTCTCCCTCTCGAAATGCTCTCACATGGCCACGCGAATATATAGCCTCTGCCAGGGAAGTCCTACTCACTGCCTTCTCGTGGCGGGGATGTTGCTTACGAAAGTAAGAGGAAGAAAAGCGAATGTCAGGCGCTTTAACTGGGTCGGTGGACAAGGCGAGTCCACCTAGGGGAGTTGGAAAACCCTGATTCCAAACCAATAGTGCACATGGGCTCCAGTATCCTGATGGAACAAAGGGCGTATGAACCAATCGTTGGTCACTGGTTACCATGAGACTGCATCTCCTCACGATGCTCCACTGCCTTGTGGATCAGACCTTTAGGTCAAAGGCTCGAGGTGTGGTCCCCTAAGAAAACCACCTGCTTCAGTTCGGGCAACCGGGCAGTATCACAGCCCACACACAAATGAAATGAAATGACGCACTACACTAACTACACTGCTCTCGTTTCTAATAGAAAAAAAGACAATTTACATTATCATTATTATTATTATTTCTATTTTTTACTACATCGCTTTTTCACTCCCTTTATTCCAAATTGTGTATCCTTCCTTTCCAACTTATGCAGTAGCTCGCCCATGGTGGAAACTCTGTCCTATCTAAACGATCTCCAGTCACTGTCTGGTTGAAAGTGAACGCTTCCACCGATTACGAATACTGAAGCAGTCTTTCTGAAACCACGTACGCCGTTCAAGCTGGCTTCCTTCAACGTTCGCACACTAATGCAGACAGGACAACAGATGGGGCTGGCTATATCTTTAGAAAGTTATAATGTTAATGTTTGCTGTCTATCCGAGACCCGTATTCAAGACTCTAGTGAAGTACTACAAATTCGTTCTCCATCTGTCACTTCGAAAAGCTTGTTTCACGTGCGCTTATCCGGGGAGTCTGTGACATCTTCGTCTGGTCTTGCAGGCGTTGGTGTTGCACTAAGCGCTAGGGCTGAGGCAGCACTAATCGATTGGATCCCCATTAACAGTCGGTTATGTGCTGTTAGATTAGAAAGTTCCATCAAAGTGAGAAGAAACCGGCGTGAGAAACGGTGTCTTTTCGTCATCTCCGCCTATGCCCTGACAGATTGCAGCACGGATGCAATCAAGGATGAGTTTTACCATCAGTTAACAGTTCTCCAGAAAGCGCGTTCGACAGATATTGTAGTATTAGCCGGAGACTTGAATGCACAGGTCGGGCGTCCAGGCACAGAAGAGAGTCGTTTAGGTGGCCGATGGGGACTTGTTGGTCGCAGGACAGATAACGGGGACCGTTTGCTGCAACTGTGCACAGACCACAACCTGTTTCTGGCTAGCACTAACTTCTGGCACAGTCATCGCCGATGTGCCACCTGGCGCCCTCCCTCTGCATCTCAAGCCTGGACTCCGATTGACCACATCGCGATCAGCTACCGCTGGCGTGGTTGTGTACAAGACTGCCGCTCCTTTTGGAATACCTATCTGGAGTGTGATCATGCCCCGGTCTGCGTTAATCTCACCTTACTTTTCAGTGGCCGAAGGATTGACCACCACCAACGGATCGATGTTAGTAAACGGGCTGCAACTTCTGTTGCAAGTAAGTATCGAGCGGAGCTAGCCTCTAGACTAGCTCCCATCCCACCGAAAAGTTTAGATGAGCATTGGTTCCATCTTCATGAAACCATGAAAATGGCGAGTAAAGCCGCTTGCGGCTTCGCGAAACGTCCCGCTCACAAGCACTGGGTTTCTTCTGACTCCTTACAACTGATAGAAACCCGTCGGTCTACTCCGGGTGACCGTGAGTTTGACCACAAACGAAGGCTGTTTCGTAATGAAATTGGGCAAAGCTTGCGTAAGGACCAAGAAGCCTGGTGGTCGGAGCGTGCTAATGAGATGGAAGCAGCAGCTGCATCTGGTAACTGCCGGAAGCTCTCCCAACTCATCCGAGCCACTGGCAGCAAGAAGTCTGGTGTGAGTGAAACAATCTACGAGGATGACGGGTTGCCAATCACTAACGTCTCTCGACGTCTTGGACGATGAGCGGAATTCTTCGAAGGGCAGTTCAACTGGCCTTCTGTTCCGGCAACATCAACCAGTTTGTCCTGTCCCCCATGGCCGGTGACAACTGATCCACCAAACGAGGCGGAAGTCCGTAAGGAACTCCAACTCTTGAAACGTTACAAATCACCAGGCCCAGACGACTTACCTCCGGCTCTTTTTAAAGTAGGTGGTGACTTTCTGGCTAAAGAACTGACTATGTTGTTTGCAAAGGTTTGGGAGCTAGAAAGTGTTGCACCATCATGGAATGAGTCAATAGTCGTCCCTATCTTTAAAAAGGGTTCACGTTGTTCCTGTAACAACTATCGGGGGATAAGTCTACTTCCGATTGCGTCCAAACTATTGGCTTCTGTCATTCTTCGTAGGTTGTTTAAAACCCGAGAACGATTGACTCGCGAGGAGCAGGCTGGTTTTCGTTCTGGTCGAGGATGCATTGATCACATGTTCACCCTCCGCCAATTGTTAGAACACCGTCATACTTATCGCAGGCCAACAATCGTAGTGTTTCTTGATATCAGGGCTGCCTTCGATTCGTTGGACAGGACTGTTCTCTGGGATTGTCTTTTGAAGAAGGGTGTGCCTGAGAAGTTCATTAACATCTTAAAGGCCCTGTATAGGAACACCTCAGGCAGAGTGAGGGCATACAACCACCTTTCTCCCTTGTTCCATTCGAGCAGTGGGGTTAGGCAGGGTTGCCCGATCTCACTATTCCTCTTCAACTTTGCCATCGATGATATCCTGGAAACAGCTCTGATGGATGTAAGTAATGGCGGTGTGGATATGTTGCCTGGAGAACGACTTCTCGACCTCGAGTATGCGGATGATATTGTCTTACTGTGCGATAATGCCCAAGGCATGCAATCCGCACTTAATCAGTTGGCAATCAGTGTCCGCAGGTACGCCATGTGCTTTGCACCCTCCAAGTGCAAAGTACTCCTACAAGACTGGCAGGATTCTCATCCTGTACTCACCCTGGATGGTGAGCAGATTGAAGTAGTTGAGAAGTTCGTGTATCTAGGTAGCTATATAAGTGCTGGTGGTGGCGTGAGTGATGAGATTGATGCACGTATAATGAAAGCCAGAGCGGCTTATGCCAATCTGGGCCATCTTTGAAGTCTTCGTGATGTTAGTCTGGCTGTAAAAGGTCGGATCTACAACGCATCGGTGAGAGCAGTTTTGCTCTATGCTTGTGAAACCTGGCCTCTCCGAGTTGAGGATGTTAGACGTCTCTCTGTGTTCGATCATCGTTGTCTCCGAAGGATTGCTGACATTCAGTGGCAGCACCATGTTAGTAATGCAGAGGTTCGGCATCGTGTGTTCGGGCGCAGAGACGATAATTCAATTGGTGTCGTTATCTTGAAACATCGACTTCGGTGGCTTGGACATGTTCTACGAATGTCGTCCCAGAGAATTCCGCGTCGTGCATTATTTGCCGACTCTGGGACTGGTTGGAAAAAGCGGAGAGGAGGTCAGTGTATGACGTGGTGTCGTGGCATGAAAGAAAGCTGCAAAGGGCTAGCTTCTGTTGGTCCTTCACGACTCCCTGGCTGGGGTCCGAGAGATGGTGCAACACAGTGGCTAGAGACGTTATCAGATATGGCTCAGAATAGAAGCCAGTGGCGATCCTGCTGCAACCTTCTTTTACTTTCTACATAAAGAGTGGTTCTAACTTTCTTAACTGAAAGAGTCTTCTGGTTGTACATTTCAGTCCGCCTTATCTTTTCATCCCTTCTCTTCCTACTTTCATTATTTTGTGTGGCGCATATGTATCTGGTGCCCTTTTGTACCAATATATATGTGTTTAAAGAAATAAATATTGTCATCTGTACTCTTGTAAAAATAACTTAACACTATGTTGGCTTTCAGGCATTAGTTTTTCTAGTACGTTATGACACCCGTTCAATAGAGCTAAGGATTACATTTTTGTCGAAAAAGTATTTGAATACTAGTTCACATAACCTGTTCACTTTAGTTACCCCATCTCCTAGTTTTGGGTGTTATCGTACTGATAGTGACCATTTTTCACTTATTCTTAAGTTTCGAAATATGTTTATGAAAGATAGTCAACGATCCAAAATCATCTAAAGAACTGCTGAGTCGAAAGAACTCTAGCTTAAAAATCTTGAGTGATACATTTAATATTATGGTAACTGTAGAGTGTGTGGAGTTGCCAAATGTTGAATGTATAGTAATTATTTTCAGGCAAACGGGTGGTTCCTGTCAAATTAAGTTTTTATTTCAGTGTTATGGATGATATGCATTAGGTTTGTTTTAAACGCTCAAACATAACTCATAAAGAGGTTACTACTAAATTCTGTATATTTTTCACAGGTTTAGCGGCTTTTATTCGTGAAACTCAAAAACAATGCTCTATATCCAGTCCAACTACATCTATTGAACTTCCTCTAACGTCAGTTTTCCCTCTTCAAACTGAAACGAAATTAACTTCTTCATGTAATGTCAGACAAGTTTCTTCACCTTCCTATCTTTTACCTTCTGCATCCACTCCATCTTTTCTACCAATGACTCCGGTTCCACAAAATCTTCCAACTGTTTTAGAACAGACTTTACATTCAGAATCAGTAGCAGTAAATCATAATACTAATCCATCACCACCTATTCAGTCAACTGCATTCATATCTTTACAACCTGCACCAGGTTCTTTAATTAGTCCTTCTGATTTACAACAGCTTGTAGCAAGTGGGGAATTCATGTCCTCAGCAGCTCGGGTAAGTATCTGGTCTCTTATTTAATCGAGAAATGCTATTGGTACATGGTCACTGCTGTTTATCATCTAGTTAGTATTATAGTGCAAAACGGATTATGACATCTTTTCGAGTCTTGTATTTCAGTTGAATTCACTATCGTCCATCATAAGCAACGTAGAACCTCTTACACATGTGTATCAATCCTAGTTATCATACCACATTGACACAGCGAGATGAAATTATTTTAAGACATCCCAGTGTAGTGGGAGTAGCAACAGTATCACTAATGTTAGTAGAAAAAAATTGGTATAGAAAAATAAATAAGGTATGGGGAGATTTTGTGACTCATGTTCCAATAAAAGACAATAAGTCAATACATGTGCACCATTGCGAACGATTTTGGGCTATCACCTGAATTCTCTAACCACTGGTTACGGTAATCGCATGCACCCTAACCAGATAGTTTTCACTTACCTACCTGGGTCAGTCCAGTTTTCAATGGCTTCATAGACTGGTGCCACATCTTGGTTCAACCTCCCTTAACCATCTTCCAACTTAATCCTATGCCAGACCAGTCATCAAGGTAGCCAGTTGCTGGGTAAACCTAACACTACCCCATCAGTCTATTTACCATGTTCACCGAGTACGTTATCCCTAATCTCGACATAACCTTACTTGGTGGTCCCAAAGTGCACGGGTAATGCTTGATTTGAGTTACCTATAAGCCATTCAACTTTAAATCTTGCCATGGAGTGCAATAGTACTTGTTGTGTAGTTAGACAGGTAAAAGTTTTATTCACTCCGGTCAAAACACCAAGCTTTCAAACATATTTTGACGTTATTCATGAAACATTCTTTTAGATTGCTTTCTTCCATAAAAACTAACTTCAACATGATAAGCAAAGATGGGTAGTGGCTATCAGTAGAATCCAGTACACGCGTTTCATCCCATTTGGGTCTCGTCAGCTGGATGCACCTGCATCTCAGAGTTGATGTTCACTCTGGGACTCGAACCCAGTTTTTTTCGCTTCAAACGCCATCGCGTTATCCACTCGGCTACTGAGTCCTGATAGCCACTTGCTTGTGCACATATGCCAATTAGAGAGTGACCAGTTGTAGTCTTAAAACATCAATGGGAAGATTCAAACAAACAATACTAAGTGAATCTAATTTCAACAGTTTGTAATAATAATTCTTTCAGAATAAAAACTCCATAACAATATGGGTTTTTATTTGAACTTGACCAAAGTTGACGTTCGTTATAACATTAATGTTTATCATTTACTCTTGGTAGATATAGATGTGTTTGATTCGGTACTCTTTTTTTATAAATAACAATAATAATAGAGAATTTAGATTATTTTAATCTGAGTCGTATGTGATGTAATACTATCAGATAATTCTCAAATTTATTGCTTTCATATCCTTCAATAACTATCATGATAGTTTACTAACTGTATAGTTTGGCTCTTTGAATTTAGCAAACTTTACTTGGTCAGTCTTCTGATGGATCTACACGACAACTTTATCTGCTCGTACCAAGTGACTGTCCTGTAATTATGCCAAGAGTTTCAAATAATCAACCAACTGTGACTCCTATTCTACCATCTACGTCTCCTTTGATTGAATCTATTCCCACAAGTGCCCCAATATTGGAAGCTATATCCCCAGGTGTAGAACCTGAGGAAAATAATGTTCAAATGCAATCTGAATCGTCAACATGTAATAATGCACAACAAGTGCTAACTTCTGTTTCACATTTGGCAACTACAATGCTTAATCCAATGAGTTCTGCATCCACGACGGCATTATCTACTTTTCTGGCTGGTTTGGAAGCTCGTAATCATCAGCCTATACAACAGATTCAATTAGGTGGGTTACCTTTATCTGCCGTAACATCTTCACTGTCTTGTTCTTATTCTGACTCTTCATCAACTCACACTGCTAAAGATTCATCAGCTCCCAGTTGTCCACAACTTAGAATTCCACTTCAAGTTTCTGGCCTTCCCATTTCCGAGAATGGTTCATTATCAGTTGAACAAAATGTTTACCCCGTTACAAATAACGTTGCGAACTCTATATTAGGTGTTGTAAAAAGTAAGTTTTAATATGTAGATTCATGAAAAAGACAAGCCGTAAATTAATAAATTATTTTGTGAAGACAATTTTCCACATCTATATTCCATTTTTTAAAATAGGCATTTACTGACTATAATCAAAATTTCGCCTTTTTTAATCTGATTTTAAAGATGTTATAGAAACATGACAACAGTCCATAGGAATGCCCTGGTACAGCCGAGAGTAAGGAAAGTCCGTTCTCCTTATACAAATGCTCTCACATGGCCACGCCTATATGGCCTCTACCAGGGAAGTCCTACTCACAACCTTCTTGTGGCATTACTGTTGTTTATGAAATTGAGAGGACGAAAAGAGAATGTCAGGCGCTTTAACCGGATTGATGGACATGGAAAGTCCACCTAGGGGGAGCTAGAAAACCCTGATTCCAAACCAATGGTGCACATGGGCTCCAGGATCGTGAATGAACAAATGGCGTATGAATCAATCGTTGGTCACCGGCTACCATGGGACTGCATCTCCTCACGATGCTCCACTGCCTTGTGGATCAGACTTTTAGGTCAAAGGCTCCGAGTGTGGCCCCCTAAGGAAACCACCTGCTTCAGTTTGGGCACCTTGGCAGTATCACAACCCTCACACAAATCAAGTGAAATTTGTGTGGCGCATATATCTGGTGCCCCATTGTACTAATATTTATGTGTTTAAATAAATAAACAATAATTACTAAAATATTCTTTTCCACTTTACAAATGATTAAAGTTATATACAATGTAGAACCAGACACTTTTGTGATTCGGCTCAAGTTGTTGTCATACCACATTATCATAGTGAGATAAAATTATTCCACTGTAGTAAAAATAGTAACAGTATCATTAGTCATAGAAAAAGAAAATATCGTATACTATCCTGAAACTCAAGATCTAAATGGAACCAAAGCGTGAATGCATCTACATAATTATTACGGATTTCGACCCATGTCACACAGTCTAGCCATTGGTCACGATAATTGTACGTTATGCACTACTATGTGGTGACTATAAATCATTTTCATATCTAGATACTGCTTATTTGTTTGTGTTCTACACGAATTAGCTTAGGATATAAAAATTTGGGTTAACTAGGCCGAGATATCCCATTACTTTATGAAGCCACTGTTGATGTGTAGACATCCTGATATAAGTTTACAAGGTGATCGTATCCTGCAGTTCAATGTCTTAGGTGACATGACTCAGACTGTAGGTACGTCATAGATACACACTATTTTGATCCTTCTTTAAACATCGAGTTTCAATATTATTCCATACGTTTGTTTACTGATTTCACCCTCAATCTATGTTATTAATGTTCATTTTCTTTCTGTGATTAGTATCAATATTCCTTTTTCTCTACGTTTTATCTTTTTGATTTCCCTCTTGACTGTGTTGTATTCCCTAAACTGGGTGTTTGGTATTGATTTCCTCTCTCTCTGTGTGTATGTGTGCCAATATGAAGTATGAAAGCCTTGAACCAGCACACACACACACATCTACAGCAGGTTTTAACGTTGTTTATTTTAGTCCTACTTTGATTTACTTTCCCGGTTCTTTGTTAAACTGGGTCATGTCATATTCATTACATCTGGATGCTTTCTCTAATCAGTAACCATATTTCTCAAATGTGATTACGTAATTCTGTTCTGTTTTGATGGCCTTTTATAGTCTTCTCCAGCACCTATAATAGATCCATTTACTGTTTTATCACTCTTTATATGAACACTTGTACTCCAATTTTACATTTCATTGTTTTGCGTATGTGTGTGTGTGCATGTGCTATCAACTTTATGTTCATATACATATATCTACGTTCATATTCACTGAATTAGTCGTTTTTAATTTTCACAGTTGAAATCATGAGTCAATTGAAGCTAGACCACCATCGAAAACCTGGAAGCACTGGACGGCCGTTTCGTCCTATTATGGGACTCCTCAGCAGTGCGCATCCACGAACCCGCTCTCGCGAGCGAGATTCGAACCCAGGACCTACCAGTTTTTAATTTTGTTTACAATTAACAACTTTATCAAGTATCCACCACTTTTTTTCGCCCTTACTCTTTACCCGTTATCTATGGATTAATCTACTAGTCTTAACATTATTGGTTAACTAAAGTGTTTACCTTTGACTGCTGACATTTTTCACCTGAGACTAATTCAATTATATACATAAACATTCGTCGCTCAATTATCTTATCATGAATTGGAGACTTATTCCTCTAACTCTAAACTTAGTACTGCGTCCAGTCGCTAATCTTCCAACAAATGTATTCATCAATATAAATCTTTCCACTGAGTGCACCCGTTAAAATTACTAAACCAGTTTCCTACCAACATATAAAAGAGCGAAAGGGAGTCTATAAAAAAATACCGCAATAAGCATAAGCCATATGGAAAGGAAAAATGAACAATACTATGATTTATGAACAACCTCTGAAACTGACCTTGAGAAACCTCACCTCACTTGCTGGGGATATAAGTTATGGGAGGAATTAGTACTAAGAGTTAGGGTTAAATATAAGGATTGGAATTTCCATTACGAAATGTAGTCAACTATCATGCCAAAATGAATGAAATCATCATTTCATTTATATGTGTTATCATCTTGAAACACCGACTTCGGTGGCTTGGACATGTTCTACGAATGTCGTCCCAGAGAATTCCGCGTCGTGCATTATTTGCCGACTCTGGGACTGGTTGGAAAAAGCAGAGAGGAGGTCAGTGTATGACATGGTGTCGTGGCATGAAAGAAAGCTGCAAAGGGCTAGCTTCTGTTGGTCCTTCACGACTCCGTGGCTGGGGTCCGAGAGATGGTACAACACAGTGGCTAGAGACGTTATCAGATATGGCTCAGGATAGAAGCCAGTGGCGATCCTGCTGTAACCTTTTTTTACTTTCTACATAAAGAGTGGTTCTAACTTTCTTAACTGAAAGAGTCTTCTGGTTGTACATTTCAGTTCCCCCCATCATTACTCTTCTCTTTTTTTCCATTCTATTTTTTCCTTTATATATATGCATCTTCCTCTTTTCTCTTTCCATTCTCATTATTTTGTGTGGCGCATATATATCTGGTGCCCCTTTGTGTCAATATGTACGTGTTTAAATAAATAAATTTCGCGCCAAAATCCAATGGTTGTCATTTTAAATGTCATCAGTTCGCCAGGAAACCCCAGTCTTTCAGAAGAATGCGTCTCATAATTAACGTACAATTTTTATGTACTCACACGAACTGTATCTTTGTGTGATGGCTGAGTACGCACCATTTAAATGCTTTAAGCATTTTAAGTGGCATTAAATCCGTACCTATAACCTCACAGTTAATGACCTAAAACACTAAGTCACAAATGCACACGGTAAAACTACTGTAACGTAATAAAATTTTGGGATATGATAAAAAAACCCACCTGGTTTGTATTATAACTCAAGCCTCTTTGAAATTTCTAGACATAATATCTCAAAGTGAATGGCAGCAAACTGTGGCCACCTAACTTTGGTTGCGGTTCACAAACTACTCTTCGTCACACTTTCGAGAACAGTGAAAACAACTCAGGGAAAATTTGCGTATCTTCCCATAAAAAAGTCATCTACACACTATGAGTTTTGGTGGAATGATTTAACTGTTTATATGTTCAAAACAGATTATTTACTCTCAAAGTAGCTGCGTTTAGTAACAAGATAAACGAGATAAATATCCCTCAACAAAGTCTCTGGAACCCCGAAATAAACCAGAAATGTTTTGACCAATCAGTGTTGAACAGAAACATCCAGAAAAATAAAGAATTATGTGTCATAAGCTAAGATGGATAGTGGCTAGCAGTGGAATCCAGGACACGCGTTTCGTTCTATTTGGGATTCGTCAGCTGGATGTACCTGCTTGTGAATTAAGTCAATATCGAGGCGATACGCACAGTGTGCACATATGCCAATAAGAGATTGGTCAATTTCAGTCCTAAATATCAGTCAGAAGATTCAAGTAAACAATACTAACTGAATTATGTGTTGTGTTTCTATCGGATAATTATAAATGTTGTTACCGTATTTAATATGTTCTAGAGGCTTGTATAAAATAAAGGCCATAATAGACATAAATACATTTGACATAATGTACACACTCTTAAAGGCTGTTATATTTCGCTCCTTTTTTCCATTGTTCAAGTTGAAGTGTAAAAGTAGTGTCAAATAGTAAAGACTTATCAGTTTCAATGCAATGAAATTTTTTGATTTTTTGTGTATATATGAAACTGTATTTTGGCTAATATTATCAAGACGTTTGTGTGTAGTTATTCGTTTCTTATAAATAATCAGTTACTGAATAACACAGGAATAGGTATTTAAATAAAAATGTTTTATTTCTTATTTCAACACAAAAATATTGGTACAAAAGAGAACAAGATATATATATATATGCACCACACAAATTTCACTTGATTTGTGTGAGGGTTGTGATACTGCCAAGGTGCCCAAACTGAAGCAGGTGGTTTTCTTAGGGGGCCACACTCGGAGCCTTTGACCTAAAAGTCTGATCCACAAGGCAGTGGAGCATCGTGAGGAGATGTAGTCCCATGGTAGCCGGTGACCAACGATTGATTCATACGCCATTTGTTCATTCACGATCCTGGAGCCCATGTGCACCATTGGTTTGGAATCAGGGTTTTCTAGCTCCCCCTAGGTGGACTTTCCATGTCCATCAATCCGGTTAAAGCGCCTGACATTCTCTTTTCGTCCTCTCAATTTCATAAACAACAGTAATGCCACAAGAAGGTTGTGAGTAGGACTTCCCTGGTAGAGGCCATATAGGCGTGGCCATGTGAGAGCATTTGTATAAGGAGAACGGACTCTCTCCATTCTCAGCTGTACCAGGGCATTCGTAATCTACCTGAAGATTACAATGTTCTTTTTGATTTACTTTACTAACTAGTCAATAATCAAATATGAATTCATTCAACCCCAAGTAATTGACATTCATCAGTCACTGTATGCATATAACTTACAGTATAAATAAATAAATAGCTGACTGATGTCTATAATATTTTTTCTTCCTGACACATTCTCTCATAGTTGATTTTATCTAAATATGTGTACTCCGCCTATAGCTCCTCCGGGGCTACTGTCAGTTTCAAGCCCGGATAAAGGAGGTGGGTTAGACATGGGATTAGCGACCCCGTCTCGTAGAAAACCAACTCGCTAAAAAAATCCTAACCAGAAGAAAATTATTCAAACCATTTAAATTCTGACCTGGGGGTTGAAGGAATAATTATGACGTCTCATAATGAAAGCCGAGTTCATTCGGAAGTCATGAGGCCGAAGCACCTTTTAACAACCAGAGCAAGAATTTTTTATAGGTACATGGAATGTTCGGACTATGTGGGAGACCGGAAGAGTTTTCCAAATTGCTGCAGAAATCTATATACTCTGGTGAATTAATTTTTCTGCTAATAATTTTTACATACACAAGATTTGTACGAATTTGATCTATATCCAATACCTTATAGTTGTTTTTTAAATCATAATTTATTTGGTTAAAAAAGCTTACTTATCCCCCCTCCTGTTGTATTCAGTGAAGAATTTTGTCATTTCCAATTATTACTTCGATTATAGTACTTGTACTCATGTATTAGCAATGATCTAAAAATGTACATTTTACTTTTCTTAATTTGTGTTGTTCTAGGCGATCCTGATATGTACACTCCTAATGGGCATACTTATTCATCTTTAGTAGATGAAACTAATCGTTTCCGATCTTATCCAACATATACTCAACAATTATCTCATCATTTACCTCATAATACAACTGTGAGACAGTCTGTTCTAGCTGCCTCTTCTACAACATCAAATAATTCTTTCTTTCAACAAGAATCTTCAGATTCTTTATCATTAAATCAAACGTGTTCTGTACCAAATAATATCACATCAAATAATACAACTACTGCTACTATTACTAATAATAATAGTAATAACAATGGAGAGGAATCATTAACAAATGGACATTTTCAATCACCAATGTCACATTCAAATGTTTCAGCAACTAATACATTTACTACTTCATTAACACCTAATTCAGATAAAACTCTACAGTTGCCAACGTCATCTAAGTCTAATACTTCAATAGATGAATGTCGTAGAAATTCAGTAACAAACACAATATTAAATACATCCAACAATCGGTCAGAACAAGTCAAGGGTGAGTATTTCATGTAAATTACATACTTTTAAGATTTATTGTTTTCAACTGTTTATAGGAGGATTGTTAGTGCGACTTTAAAAACAATCACAATATGTATTCACTTAGTATTGTTTGTTTGGATCTTCCCATCGATGTGTTTAGGACTGCAACTGGTCAGTCTCTAATTGGCATATGTGCATACTGTGCGTATTGCCTCGATATACCTTAATTCACAAGCATGATAAGCAGAGATGGATAGTGGCTAGCAGTTTGACGCGCGTTTCGTCCTATTTGGGACTCGTCAGCTGGATGTACCTGCATCTCAGAGTTGATGTTCACTCTGGGACTCGAACCCAGTTTTTTTCGCTTCAAACGCCATCGCGTTATCCACTCGGCCACTGAGTCCTGATAGCCACTTGCTTGTGCCACCATGCTTGTGAATTAAGGTATATCGAGGCAATACGCACAGTATGCACATGTGCCAATTAGAGACTGACCAGTTGCAGTCCTAAACATCGATGGGAAGATCCAAACAAACAATACTAAGTGAATTCAAACTTCACCCCATCGCACAAGCAAGTGGCTATCAGGACTCAGTGGCCGGGTGGATAACGTGATGGCGTTTGAAGCGAGGGTACCGGGTTTGAGTCCCAGAGTGAACATCAACTCTGAGATGCAGGTACATCCAGCTGACGAGTCCCAAATAGGACGAAACGCGCGTCCTGGATTCCACTGCTGGCCACTATCCATCTCTGCTTAATCACAATATGTGTTTATGTATACCTTTTGTATGTTTTTTGATGATATCAAATCGTCTGTTGGATTAGATTGGATAATGTTAGCTATTCAGTAGTGACCTACTAAAAATTTTTGTTTCATATATTAACGAACAATCATAATGCAATATTTAACACAAAAATACATTAGTTCAAGTGACTGCTTCTCCCCTGACCGTTGATGCTATCCTGATGTGGTTGTCGGGCTTGTCTATCGTGATGAACCAGTCGAGCTATACTGGCTGGAACAATCGTTCCTCAAGGTCCTACCATGCCAGGCAGGTCGTTTGAAGAGCGGTAAAACCAAAAGCAGCAAACCCACGGTCAGAAGGCGAAGTCGTACTATTGATTGTACAGAGGTGTGAAGACAGTAAGGTTTTTCCCTCGCAAACAACCAGCATAACAGCATTGCTGCCTACCCACAAGGAAGGATGAGGTTAGAATAGATTGACCTTCAAAATCCGCACCTCACCTTATCCCACGGATATCCGTCTCTGGCGGTAAGGTCCCAACAAGTACGGAGCTAACGCAAAAACTACCCACAAAAAGATCGTGTGTGACTGACCTCAAGCAGTTTTCTTTTGGGCACTGCGGTCACGCTCTCAGGTCACTAAGACCACTTCTAATCCAATTTCCTTTTCAGTTACCTCTAGAAGAACCCTTCTATGGTGTGGGCAACCGGGAAGCGATAACTGCCCTCACCTGTAACAGCACTCAAGAACACTGTATTCATAGTAAATCTCCCTCTTCAATTCCTATTATTTCTCATACCTCGACTTCCATCCCAAGGACCATGATGGCTAACGATTCTAGTACGCGAAATACTGTCTCAGATGTGCTGAAACGCAGCACCAAACTACACATTGAAGCCTTTAAAATACATACCCTATGTCAAATTGATCATCAGGCTTCTTTGGCTAAGTCCCTAAAATCTCGTACCATCAAAGAATGCTGTGTCTTCAAAACACATACAGGATCCTGGTGTGGTCATTCACTGAACTCACCTCGCCAAAACAGGGAACCGACGAGATACACCCTCTGTTTATCTGCCGATCCAATGGTTAGCTCTCGTGGACTGGTGGGTGTAGGCATAACACTAAGTATGGGGGCAGAACAAGCCTTATTAAAATGGATCCCTGTTAACAGTCACCTATATGCTGTTCAGCTAAACGGTTCCGTAAGAACTCGGAAGGATACTAAAACACATCGTTGCCCTTTTGTCATTTCTAACTGCGCTCTGGATTAACTCCAGAGTCTTTAAGGATGGTGGTCCGGTTTTAGCGAGTAGATTGACTAATATTTTGGCTAAAATCTGGGAATCGAACGTAATCCCATCTGACTGGTAGCAATCACTGATCGTCCTAATATCTAAGAAGGGATCAAAATCATCCTATGATGATCATAGAGAGGTTAGTTTAACTAATATCGCATCTAAAATACTAGCCTCAATAATTATCGGATGCCTAACTAAGACTCGTGAACTGCAAACACGAGAAAATCAGGCTAGCTTCAGACCTGGTCATGGCTGCATCGACCACATATTCACGATTCGTCAGGTTCTAGAACATATACATGCTTATCAGCGTCCAACAGTGGTGGTCTTTCTTGACTTAAAAGCAGTATATGACTCTGTAGACCGAGAGGTTTTGTGGCAGTGTCTGTCATTGAAAGGTATACCTCAGAAGTACATAAGCATTCTCACTCGAGACCGAAGGTCGTGGGTACGACTCCGGCGTGCGGTATCTCGGATGCGCAATGTTGAGAAGTGACATACTAGGATGAAACTGTCGTCCAGTGCTTCCTGGTTTTCAATGGTCGTCTAACATTGACTGGCACATGATTTCAATTAAAAAAATTAGAAATCAGATGTTGAGATTTTGTTCACCTTATTTTAGCAAAAAATTAAAAACGTCTTAGATGTCTGCGCAAAATTCATTCATTCATATGGCTGCAATAGTGTGTGAATTTATCCACCCGTTTCTCAAATTTGAATAACTGTACATTCTGTACTCACTCTTAAATGCTGTTACGTTTCGCACCTTTTCTCTATTGTTCAAAGTGAAGTGTAAAAGTAGTCTGGGATTATAGGACGCATCTGGGCCGTTAGTAACAAGCATTGAATTATCAGATAATTTTTCCCACCTATTTCTTCGCATCCATCATTTTACCTTTTTCACTGATGGGGGCGTATATGTAGTGTCTATTTTTAATATTTCCTGTTTTTTCAGGTTCTGCAACTTATCTAGAACATTTAAATCCAGAATCCAAAGATATACGACGTCGTGTCAGCCATAATGAAGGTAAATAATTTTATAGTTCAGTGATTATTGTAATTTTGTTTTGTTGCATTTTTCGGCATACTTTGGCAATGTGATTATATTGTGTTTTTATGGGAAGAGATAGAAAGAGAGGTCTCATTAACAACCTCGAACTCATTGATCGCCCTCTTGTTTTATACTAATCTTCAAGTCACTGCAATATTTTCTTACGACTGTGTGTTTTCGATGTATATACAAACTGAATCCCATACTGTTAAAAAACAACGAATGATGTTAGATTGTGTAGAAGAAGGTTAGAAGAAAGCTAGACATTATATCAGTCTATAAATTCATTGACAATTTATCTTATCCTTGTTAGTTGATATAGAATGCCTGGATGGGATCAACCTCCCAGTAATCGCAATTATTGATTGATGACTAAGTGAAATGCCTCAAAATCGGTCACAAACTGACTCAGATGTACTCAGTTTTTCTTTTCTTCCAAACATAGAATCCTATTATTCCTTCATACATGTTTTCGTTTCCTTCTGTCTTTTTAAATCATACTCTTGATGCTATAGTGTTTCTCGTTTTCTTTTAGTACTACAACTCTATCTCTTTTATACTATATTGACTATTGACTGATTGTTTACATGTATTTGTTTAATGTTCTAGATCTTCATTAAAATCTTGAACTATATATATTCTCATCATTTACTAGATACTGATGCTCATTTTTGACATTATTTTCGTTGTAATTTTCAACCACATCATTTAGATCTCTTCCAATTATTCACATAGCTTCATCGGAAGCTATCTATCTAAGTTTGTCCATTTGAGGTTCACATTCTTATTCTCAGCTTTGTATAGTCCATCTGGATGTTTTTTTTTCTTCTAGAAAACATTTCTTTCAACTGACGTGATTACGACTTGGAAAATATGTATTTCTCCGAATTACGATAATAAACTACACATTTTATTTAGTCTGACAAAATGAATACACTGATAACGAAAGTTTGTATCATGTGATTTAATACTTTATAAAATATATCTTATCCAACTGTATCTTTTCATATTATTATCTTATGACTCTCTGCTTACTCAACTTACTAGTGAACTGTGTATTAGTTAAGTGTTACTATCCTAGTCAAACCTACATTCAACCTTGGTTTTCTTTTATATACTTTTATTAAGTGCATCAAACATTTTGTTTGTTGTTTTCTTTAAAATTTTTGGTGTTGAATTGCGATTTGTCTTTAGATGTAACAATTCTTAATGTTTGAAATCACAAACTTCTAGTCTGAGCCATGTTGGTGGTATATGTAGACTACTTGGTTGGAGTCCGTGTGACTGTCGTAACCAATGGTTGCAGACTCTGTGTGACATGGCTCAGAATCGATCACAATGGCGCAGGAGTATACACTCTTTATCTTCCCTCAAACCTTGAGATGAAAATTGCTTCATATCTGTCTTCCTTCCTATACTATATCCTTATATACAACCTATCTTTTATATATTACCACCACTAACTTAACTAATTCTATGAATTCGGTGTTGATCTTGATGTGCTAATGAGTGAGGTATGGTGATTTGGACCGATGCATAAATGTGCCTGGTCCTACGTTGTAGCTGACTGACTGATTGAGATCAGGATACTTTGTTTTCCTCACTAACAACTCCCTATCTAACTTCTTTAAAATATAAATCTTCCTAGGAATTTTCTCGAGATGTAAAGCGTTTAAAAAGAGAAATTATGCTAATTTTTGATGGCCTTAATACAATGACCTAACCTAATTGTGTGTGTTGCCATGCTATGTAAAGCTAATATTTTACTTCGGACAATACAACACTAATTATTTTCAAAGCAAAATTTCTTTGATCTGCTTTCGTGCTAATTAAAAAGTAGAGTCATGTGAGATAATATCAGTTCCATATCACAAACACGCTTCACTTCAGCTACTTACTAATTTACCTAACAGTAGAATTTTGCTACCATATCTAATGTATTTTTATATGATGTGATATTAGTTGCTCGTCTCCTACTTTCTTTTCTCTAAGTAACCTTAACATTTCATATTTGGAAAAAAAGATGTTAAATAATTTAACAGGATGGTGATATGATCATGTAAAAGGCAAACCATGTCATCACCTATGGTTTAATGACTATGTTTTAGCTTCGACTGTTTTGTTTTTGTTTTTTGGTATGAAATAAAGTATTTACAATATTATTAGACAAAATCTCGTAGCTTCAATTAAACTTCATATTGTGAAAGTTACAAATCTACTCGCTCTTTTCGGCTAACAACAACATTATGGTGCTCCTAATAATGTAAATGAATCAATAAAATTTTTAGAATCTATAAATCTATCATCAGAGTTGTCAACATTTTCCCTAGATTATAATTCAGTCTCACCAATGTGTGTAAAGCTTTCAAAATATAAATATCTTTCATAATATACATATAATTAGATATCAATAGTCACACTACTGTTAAATTGTCAATTATTTATTTATTTAAACACGAAAACATTGGTACAACGAGACACCAAAATATATGCTTGGGCACCGAAACCTAAGCAGGTGACTTTGTTAGGGGGCCACGCCACAAATATTTGATCAAGCGACCTAATCCACAAGGCAATGGAACAACTTTAAAAGATGCAGTGCCCCCAAATGCCCTGGTACGGCTGAGGGCGACGGGAGTCCACTATCCCTCTCAAAATGCTCTCACATGGCCACGCGTATACAGCCACTGTCAGGGAAGTCCTACTCACTGACTTCTCGTGGCATTACTGTTGTTTACGAAATTGAGAGGACTAAAAGCGAATGTCCGGCGCTTTAACCGGGTTGGTGGACATGGAATGTTCACCTAGGGCAGTTGGAAAACCCTGATTCTAAACCAATGGTGCACATGGGCTCCAGGATCGTGAATGAACAAATGGCGTATGAACCTATTGTTGGTCACCGACTACCATGGGACTGCATCTCCTCACGATGCTCCCCTGCCTTGTGTGTCAGACCTTCAGATAGTAGACTCCGGGTGTGGCCACCCGAGAAAACCACCTGTTTTGGTTTGGGCACCCGGGGAATATCATAGCCCTCACACGCAAATCAAATGATTTGTGTGACGCATATATATCTGGTGCCTCTTTGTACCAATATTTTTGTGTTGATATAATAAATAAGATGTAATCCCATGGTAATCGGTGACAAACAATAGATTTATATGTCTTTTGTTACCTCGGGATCCCCAAAGCCTTGTGCACCAGTGGTTTCGGAACGAGGGTTTTTTAATTCCTGATGGATCCTCTGTACCAACCCATCCGATCTAAAAGCCGATTATTCTCCTTTCATTCTCTCAATTCCTTAAGAAACACCCCTGTCGTGAGAAGGCAGTGACCAGGACTTCTTTGGCTAATATATGCGTGGTCACATAGATGTATTTGTAGAATCTTCGAGGGTTACTTACAAGAAGGTATAAGTCGGTGTTCAACGTTTGTTGGGGTATGTCATGTAGTGAGTTTTATTCATTACTAACTCTTTTAACCAAACATATAACTGATAATATACTAAGTATCTCACCCCAAATTAATTTTATCGTTTTTCTGATGTAAACATATGATACTGAGCTATATATTAAAACGTCTATTTGAAAAAGATTTACTTTGCTTACTAGCCATCCGGATCAAATTTTTTTCAAGTAAAAAACACCTCTATACTTACAAATAAATGTTCATATGCATCTGTCAAAGTAAAAATCCGTTATCAATTCCATATTATCATGTCCTTATCAGTCCATCCTTCATGATCTCCCACTCAGTAAACAAATCTTTTGATTTTTTTAAAAAAAATAGTCGTTTTTCATTCAATCGTTATTTGTTCATTAATGTGACTAGAAAAATCCTTCACATTGCCTTCTAAAAACAGTTCATGTACAATTCATTAGAGGAGAATCTAATCGATCTTAAATGAATGGTAACTGCTAGAGATTATGTATGAACTATTATTACATAGATTCTTATTGGATAACCATTAAGTAACTAGATTATATGCATATTCATATTCCTTTTATCATAAGCTTTGATTTGACCTATAGACCATTGTTATACGATTTACTTACGCCTGTTACCTCTCGTCGAGGAGCATAGGCCGCCCACCAGCATTCTCCATCCAACCCTGTCCTGGGCAATCCTTTCCAGTTCTTTCCAGTTAACATTAATCCTTTTCATATCTGCTTCTATTTTCCGACATAATGTGTTCTTTGGTCTTCCTCTTCTCCGCTTCCCTTCAGTATTCCAAGTTAGGGATTGCCTCGTGATGCACATTGGTGATTTTCTTAATGTATGTCCCATCCACTTCAAACGTTTTTCCCTAATTTTCTCTTCAGCCGGAAGCTGTTTTGTCCTCTCCCATAAAACGCTGTTACTGATAGTATCCGGTCAATGGATGTTGAGTATTTTGCGTAGACAACTGTTTATAAATACTTGTACCTTCTTAACTATGGATTTAGTAGTTCTCCACGTTTCAGCTCCATACAGTAGGACTGTCTTGACGTTCGTATTGAAGATTCTGACTTTAAAATTAGTTGACAGTTGTTTTGAGTTCCATATGTTCTTCAATTGTAGAAATGCTGCTTTTGTTTTGCCAATCCTCGCCTTTACATCTGCATCTGATCCTCCTTGTTTATCAATGATGCTTGTTATACGATTTAGCATTAACTTATTTCCAACTTATTAGTTACAGTCTCTTAAAATCATGACCACTATTAGCTTGATCTTTCATAACTATTATTCTTTATTTTATGGTGCGATGCTATCAAGTTCGCTTGTGTATAAACTACTTATGCCTGAAAATGACACACAATGGAGGCTGAGATGGCATTCTGGACAAAACAGGCAAAGCTAGGCTAGAACGACCAAAACAGATTCAGAGTTGACTCAAGGCTTCTTGTGCTAGCTAACTCATCAGTAATTTAGTGCAGGGACAAGGTCAAATAAGTTGACATTCTGATTGACGGTTTCGTCATGTGATAATTCACGGGAGCAAAAGTGACGACCTTTAAAAGAAATTCTTCATTAGTTGTTCTAATTGTTTTTATCATGAATACTTTTTTAGTTCACGCATAATTTTGTTATTCAATCAATGATTATTAAAAGATGGATTCTCACATCAACCATATTTTCAACTGATTGACTTAGTATAATAGTTGAAATCACTAACAGTGAATGGTACAACATGACGATATCTTTTTAATCATCATTAATAAACTGATAATTTACAATCTAGTTCCACTAATCAATAAATATTTTCATAGTTAAGATCATTAGTCAATTGAAGCTAGACCACCATGGAAAACTTGGAAGCACTGGACGGCCGTCTCGTCCTATTGTGGGACTCCTCAGCAGTGCGCATCCACGATCCCGCACTCGCAAGATTTATTTATAATCGATAATTGTGTTACTTTAGGATAAAATGAATTTATTATGTTTTTTTCTAAGTTAAACTCGAATGTATATATATAGTCTTTTTCAAAAGACAACTTGCTTGCAGTAAGGGACAAAAGTTATGCAGTCGTCATTTTGCGTTAATGATACTACTACTTTCACCTAGTTAACCTAACCAAAGTATATGGATCGGTACTCGTTTTACTTGTGATATAGTAGTTAATTGTGGAAAGCTAAACGCTACCGCTTTGTGATGTGTTTCTATAGTGTTGTTTTTTAATTGTTGAATTGGAATAAGTTCTTATTCTTGCTCATCTTCGTATATGAAACAAAATCTTGACATATAGAGGTAGATATTCATATATTTATGTATTTAGATGAGTGCACTGGTGATTTGTAATTGTTCTCGTCCTGGTTTTGTCTCTAGGTCATACCGCACACCACACACACATATATATGCATATTGTGAACTGAATTCGACAGAGCAAAGCAAATGATTAGTTCACATAAAAAAAGAGTCCAAAAGCGTGCTTGCGTACGTGCGTATTTGTGTGTGTGTGCAGTGTTGATATTTCGATTTGTTTACCTGTTCAGTTGTTGATCGATCGAATTTGTTTTAACCCTTGTTATAATAATAATAATAATAATAATAATAATAATAATAATAATAATAACACAATGCCTCACTCTCTTCTATTTATAAAGGTGTATGCGGAAAGCAGTTGAGAGCAATCACTGTCTTCCCTTCTTCATAGATCTATCTCTACGATACAATTTGATTGTTTATTTATTTATTTATTTAAACACATAAATATTGGTACAAGTGGGCACCAGATATATGTGCGCCACACAAATCCCATTTGGTTTGTGTAAGGGTTGTAATACTGCCAAGGTGCCCAAACTAAAGCAGATGATTTTCTGAGGGTGACACATCCGGAGCTTGTGACCTAAAAGCCTGATCCACAAGGCAGTGGAGCATCGTGAGGAGATGCAGTCCCATGGTAGCCGGTGACCAACGATTGATTCATACGCCATTTGTTCCTTCAGGATACTGGAGCCAGCCCATGTACACCATTTGTTTGGAATCGGCGTTTTCCAACTCCCCTAGGTGGACGCGCCGTCTCCACCAACCCGGTCAAAGTGCCGGACATTCTTTTTTCGTCCTCTCAATTTCGTAAACAACAATAATGCTGTGAGAAGGTAGTGAGTAGAACTTCTCTGGCAGAGGCTATATATTCGCGTGGCCATGTGAGAGCATTTGGAGAGGGAGAGCGGACTCTCCCCACTTTCGTCCGTACCAGGGCATTTTGGGGCAATTTGAGTGATAGTAGATTGATTCTAGTAAACGACAACGCACTTGTTGATTGAGATAATAATAATAATTATTGTCATTATTATAGTAGTAATAGATAGATGGATAGATGTATGATAAAGGAAAGATAGCGATTGTTTCCAATTCCTTTTTGCATATACACACGTTTTGTTATTGTTGTCTGTCTGTATGCATATCCACTGTTATTTAGCTGGAAAATTCGATTTCTTAATTTTCACTTCCATATCACATTCAATCATTTATGCATTTATTATTCAATTTTGATTTTAGTATATTGAAATGGCAACAACAGAAAAAAAACTTTCACCACACTATTGTTGTGTAATGTACGCATATATAAATGTGTAGGCGTGTGTGTGTGTATTTGTGGGCGATATGTACATGTTTCTTTTGTTGGTACAAAAACAGTATAAAGGTATTTACGACTAGTGTTTTTTTTATGAAAAGATCACATATAAAATGTGTCTTCCAAGTCATAACTCTGAGTGGGTAACAGTTTAATCATTCAGAAACTTTGGACATCACAGATACTGTTATCACTGTTATTATGATTATTGTTGCCCCCAAAATGCCCTGGTACGGCCGAGAGTGGGGAGAGTCCGCTCTCCCTCTCCAAATGCTCTCACATGACCACGCCTATATAGCCTCTACCAGGGAAGTCCTACTCACTACCTTCTCGTGACATTACTGTTGTTTACAAAATTGAGAGGACGAAAAAAGAATGTCCGGCACTTTGACCGGGTTGGTGGAGACGGCGCGTCCACCTAGGGGAGTTGGAAAACGCCGATTCCAAACAAATGGTGTACATGGGCTGGCTGCAGTATCCTGAAGGAACAAATGACGTATGAATCAATCGTTGTTCACCGGCTACCATGGGACTGCATCTCCTCACGATGCTCCACTGCCTTGTGGATCAGGCTTTTAGGTCAAAAGCTCCGGATGTGTCACCCTCAGAAAATCATCTGCTTTAGTTTGGGCACCTTGGCAGTATCACAGCCCTCACACAAATCAAATGAGATTTGTGTGGCGCATATATATATATCTGGTGCCTCTTTGTACCAATATTTATGTGTTTAAATAAAATAAATATGATTATTGTTAAGAACTGGTTCGGGTCCACTTTATTAGCGTAACCAATAATATTTTAAAGATGTGGGGTCATCGTAGCGCAGGCACACTTACTCTTCACTTATATATATTGAGCACGAAGATTATCTTACAGTTTTTTGTTTTATGAACTTTATGTTCTCTTCTTAGATCATATCGCACATGTCTAATATCTTATACTATCATTTATATCGTTAGTACATCGACTAACACAGTATGTCGTCATGTTGATGTGATATGACAACTGGAACCACTGCATATCAGTTGGTTTAACGTTGAAGCCTCGTATGGTTGTGTATACTAGCCCAGGTCCCCATACTACATTATCACAATGAGATGAAGTTAACGGAGAGTGAATTGCCATAACATATCGGAACAATGATAATGAGAAAGATTGAACATTTGTAATGTAGTTGAAAAAGATAGAATAGATAAAAGCGTATTAAAATTCAAGATCGAGAGGAATAAATAAACAGTGAATGCATCTGAAACGTTTTGATTATCTCTGAACTGAAAAATATATACATATATACCAGATTATTTGACTGTAATTGTCCCCAGTCTATTAATTACTGTTCCCCACATTCACAGCCGCATTTGACCAAATCTTGTACAAATGTTATTTTCTATTTTATGGTACGATGTGATCAGTCTGTTTGGCATATAAACTCAGTATGTTTGAAATATAATGATTCATATTGCAGAGGCTATTATTGGTGTTCTGTACTTAACTGGTTGGGCTAGGCAGAAGCAGGGCCGATACGTACTCTAGACTGCTAGTACGGTTTTCGTGTGTCACTGTTCCAATCGATAATTCGCTGCTCTCTGATTAGCGTTCTTATCATGTCATACGTTAACGGGGCATCTACTCGGCCACAAGTTATAACACAGTCCTAAACATCAATGGGAAGATTCAAGTAAACAGTACCGAGTGCTTGTATGAATATTTTCCCTTCTGAATCTGGCTTTTTTCCCCTAGTTAACAGGGCTGAGGCACGGAGCCTAACTTATCCTATTGTTGCGTTGGTGACTTTCCTTCTCTTCGCCGGTCCAAGGTAACATTCTAACCTCTCGAGCATAGTACACCCAGATTAGCCAACACTCAAATTCTCTTCAAAAAATACGGTATTCAACACCAGTCAGACATACCCCCAATTTTATCTTAAAACCCAAGTATAAATTTAGCAATTGATATCTTTATACTGATTGACTAGTTCCATTTTATTTCGTGACTGTCAGTATACTTCAATTCTTCTGTTACTTCCTTTATTTTTGTTGCATCATTCTAGTTGAACGTCGACGTCGAGATAGAATTAATACGTGGATAAGTGAGTTGTATAAATTATTACCACCGGATGAGCAAACTAAATCACAATATCAAAGTAAGGGTATTGTACTAAAACGTGTCTGTGAATATTTTCAAAATGTGGATAGTATGCTGAAAGCAGCTAATTCAGCAGTTGAACAGGTATGTTTTTGTTTAGTGTTGAGTGTTGTTTTTTGTTTATTTTTGTCGTTTCATTTTTTGTTTCATGATGGTAGTATCAGTGTAGACAGATGAAGTTGAACACCGATTAGATCCTAGTTTAGTTGTTATCAAAGTGCCCTAGTACGGTTGAGGGTGAGGAAAGTCCGCTATCCCTCTCGAATTGCTCTCATTTGTCCACGCATATATAGCCACTGACAGGGAAATGCTACTCATTGTCTTCTCGAGGCAGGATTATTGCTCACGAAATTGCGAGGACGAAAAGCTAACATCTCTCTCTGGCTCAAACCGGGTTCATAGGTACGACGGAGGATTCACTTAGTGGTGTTGGAAAACCCTGATTACAAACTATATATAGCATATAGCTCCCAGGATCCCGAGGTAACAAATGATGTATGGACCTATTGTTGGTTATCGGCTACCATAGAATTGTATCTCCTCACGTTGTACCACTGCTTTGTTGATTAGATCGCTAGATCAAAGGTTTGTGGAGTAGCCCTCTAAGAAGTCACCCGCTTAGGTTTTGGTGCCCGAGCGGTATTCCAACCATTACACAAATCGAATGACAAAGTGTGGCGCATACATTTCGGTGCATCCTTGTATCAATCTTTGTGGTCAAATTAATAAATGGTTAAGGGTTTGTGCGCAAGACCAAAGCTCCTGGGTTTAATCACAGTTTCGGGGTTGTGAAAGCTCACTGCCCTGGAGTTCTGTACTAGAATGAAACGGCCGTCTAGTACTTCTATTTTCCCAATGATTGCCTAACTTAAATTGGTTCGTGAATTCAATGAATTTTGGATTTTGTAAAACCTATCACACTTCTTAGGTCAATACTTAGGTTAATTACATATGTTTCCATTGAGTTGTGCTTATCTTTACAACCTTCATCTACGCACTATCTGGTTTCTGACTCAGCTGATTATTTGTTGCACGGAATAAATAGGCAGTTTTTTAATTGAAACAATAATCGAGAACATTTCTAACGATTAAAGTCTATCGTGGTAAAACCATAATTTATGGATGACCTTTGAGCGACCCCAAAAGGACCACACGAAAAACTCACCTATCTACAAGGGTTTAAACAGTATAACGAAACAGAATAGGGATTTACAGTTAAAGTTAGGGTTACGAATTAGAGTAAGTGTTTTCATCACGAAGTGGCATCAACTATAATGCCAAAGTGCTATTTAACCATATGAAAGGATGAATTTCGCGCTGAAACTCAAGACTCACTATTTTATATGTGATTGGTTCATCCATAAACTGTATATTTTCCGCCTTTTTAATAATGTCTCCCACCCAAAGCTAGTTTCATTATACATTGGCAAGATAATTCCAATCATATTCATTAACCTTATTTGTGTATCCACACAAAATGTAGTTGAATAAACCAATTTCACGGGACTTTCTTAATATTTTATTGAAATCGCGAACCCGTCTAAGTTAAACAACCATTGAAAACATTGAAGCACTAAACGTCCGTCTCAACCTAGTATGGCAATCCTCAACGGTGAGTTTTTATGATCCAGTAGCTTGAGAATTGAACCCTAGGATCTTCAATCTTCCATGTAAATCATGAGATCAGAAAGTGTACAAGTTTATGTGACTACCTTTCATTATCTTCAATTGATATATTTCCCACACCTGATACAGTTGAATCTCACATTTATTTTATTTATTTAAACACATGAATATTGGTACAAAGAAGCACCACATACATATGCGCCACACAAATCTTATTTGGTTTGTGTAAGAGCCGTGATACTGCCAATGTGCCCAAACTGAAGCAGATGGTTTTCTGAAGGGGCCACATCTGGAGCTTTTGACCTAAATGTCTGATCCACAAGGCAGTGGAGCATCGTAAGGAAATGCAGTCCCATGGTAACCGGTGAACAACGATTGATTCATACACCATTTGTTTCCTCAGGATCCTGGATCCCATGTACACCATTTGTTTGGAATCGGCGTTTTCCAACTCCCCTAGGTGGACGCGCCGTCTCCACCAACCCGGTCAAAGTGCCGGACATTCTTTTTTCGTCCTCTCAATTTTGTAAACAACAGTAATGTCACGAGAAGGTAGTGAGTAGGACTTCCCTGGTAGAGGCTATATAGGCGTGGTCATGTGAGAGCATTTGAAGAGGGGGAGCGAACTCTTCCCACTCTCGACTGTACCAGGGAATTTATTCATTATTTCTCATTTGTATTTTTTTAAATATTAATAATCCTAATCATCATCAACTGTTATTTCAATTAGCAATAATTTTTAGATTTTTTTTCCTCAATCTACTTTTATTCATAATAATATAGTAGTAGTAGTAGTAGTAGTTGTTGTTGTTGTTGTTGCTTTTGGTACAATGTAAAATTGTCGATTTGGCTGGCAAAAATAAACATTACCAATGGAGGATAAACTGTATTATTATGTCTTATACCCCTTTGTGTTATATCACTATTAATAAATCAATTTTCAGCTGATTTCAATTACTCCTATGTCTTAATAATACACATAAAAAAACTATTCAAAAAATTATGTATATGTGTGTGTAATTATAGTCAGTCGATCAGTTACGATGTCAGATTCATTGGTCGTTTTGCTAACTAACACTAACTACTATTACTGTTACTACAAGCATATTAGTGCTTGTTTACACGTGTTTTTTTATACTTATTTTGTTTGTTCATTTATAAGTTGTTATATTCATGTGTGTATGTGTATACATATGTTATACGGTCTGCCAGATGATATATATTTCAGTCGTTGAACATGTTTAGTTATTGCCTTTCCTCTCAGTTATAGTTTCTTAATGTCATAATTACACAGATTACCAAAAATTAAACTGAACTGTTTGTGATTTTGCAAAATACAAACAGTCATGTAAAAATAGCTAGCTATATACAAAAATATACATGGCATCAAGCCCCTAAATGCCGTGGTACGGCAGAGAAAGGTGAAAGTCCACTCTCCCTCTCCAAATGCTCTCACATGGCCAGCGAATGTATAGCCTCTGTCAGGGAAGTCATACTCACTGCCTTCTCGTGTCGGGGGTGTTGTTTACGAAATTGAAAGGATGAAAAGAGAATGTCAGGCGCTTTAACCGGGTTGGTGGACACGAAAAGTTCATCTAGGGGAGTTGGAAAACCTTCATTCCAAACCAATGGTGTACATGGGCTGACTCCAGTATCCTGAGGGAACAAATGGCGTATGAATCAATCGTTGGTCACCGGCTACCATGGAACTGCATCTCCTTACGATGCTCCACTGGCTCGTGGGTTAGACCTTTAGGTCAAAGGCTCGGGGTGTGGCCCTTAAGAAAACCACCTGCTTCAGTTTGGGCACCTTGGCAGTATCACAGTCCTTACACAAATCAAATGAGATTTGTGAGGCTCATATTTATCTGGTGCCCATTTGTACCAATATTTATGCGTTTAAAATAAAATAATAAAAAACATGGCATCAAAACAGCTACGATGATAATCATACATGTTTAAGACACTGAATTCAGTTTTTTTAAAATATTAGTACTGAATCACTAACAGAACATACGTTACACCAGACCTTGATATTGCTAACGCGACTTTTCCACTGAATGGCGGGAGTCCTTCAGCGGCAGTAATAGTCGAACATAGAGGTTTTTTAAACCTTCTTAGCTCGGAGGGTTCAGGTTAGGCTGGGATAACGTGCTTTCATTTCTATTTGGTGTAGACTGATCTCATCTCCAGTGCTATTCCCAACTACTCTAATTATAGATTTTGATTAATTTTTCGGTTTTCATTGTGAATCAGTTTCAGTTGTGGAAAGTTTTGAAATTTCTATATCGTACAATGATGTTTCGGCTAAACTATAATTTATAAGTGAACCAATCATATATAAAATAATGAGTCTTGAGTTTCAGCGCGAAATTCATCCTTTCATATGGTTAAATAGCACTTTGGCATTATAGTTGATGCCACTTCGTGATGAAAACACTTACTCTAATTCGTAACCCTAACTTTAACTGTAAATCCCTATTCTGTTTCGTTATACTGTTTAAACCCTTGTAGATAGGTGAGTTTTTCGTGTGGTCCTTTTGGGGTCGCTCAATGGTCGTCCATAAATCATCGTTCTTCGTCCTTAACTTCATACATCCTTATCATAAATTGTTTTAACAAAGAAAACCGACTAGTGTGTATGTGTGTAGCTGTATAATAGATGTCTCAGTCATGAAAATCAGCCAAAATTAAATCTTATCTAATAAATCTTCAACCTTGAATGTTGTCTAGGCATTTGTCATATGATAATGATGTTGATGTGTTGAATTCCTAAAATCCACTTTTCTTGAATCATTTTAAACAAATGCGTCTGGTAAATCTGATTGGCTGCACAGGCAGTCAAAATAACATTATCGGAGAAGGGTCGATAATGGGAATGGAAGAAATATTATTAGTTGATGAAGGGATTAGATTGTGAACTAGCTCTTGTGTCCTGATTGAGATGTCATTACTCTGTTGCCAATATCAAGAAAGGATACTATTCTCGAAGTTCCTAACTAGAGAAGTGGATTAGTGAATTGTCTTGACAATCTGAGATCGTTACCATAGTGCCTAAAGAACAATTCCTTAGAACGGGCCACATACAGACGTTTTGTGACTAGCTGTTAACGTGTTAGTTTTGTAATTTTAAGACTTTACCACCTGTGTCCGGAATGCGTATAGTAAGGTGAGGTGTGTTATTCGTAGAGCTGGATTTTCCTAGTACTTTAGTTCATTTGTGGACAGGCAGCATCACTTCATATACTAGTTGTACGAGGGAAACACTTTATTATTGTCACATATCTATACATTCAATAGCGCCACTTCTCTGCGTTTTAGTGATACCATACTCTACAACCTAGCTGCGTCAAATGGTTAGGCCTAGTTTATGTATTTGTTTTTATAAATAAATAGATATTGATGTAAAGGGGAGCAAAATAACTATGCTCCACAATAGGAAATTGTGATTGTAAAGGGGATAGAAGGAAGGTGAGTATGATAAAAGTAACGGTGAGTGAATAAAAACATTAATGAACTGGAACATTACATTAATGGAAGAAGCAATTCAGTGAAGAAAAATATAATGAGAATGGAATGCTTTAGTCTTAAACAGTTCCTATCACATATAGGAAGAAATTACAAGAAAATTGCAACAGGATCACCTCTGGCTTGTGTTTATCTCGAGGCATGCTTAACAATATTTTAAGCCACTACGTTGGACTATCTTTAGGATCCCAACAAGGTTGTCGTGAAGGTCCAAGCAATGGCGATCTTTTAGGGTTTCATTTCATACACCGATCAATTGTCTGCTTCTTCTAACCAGTCCCAGCGTCGGCAAATAATGCACTATGTGGAATTCGCTTGGACGACATTCGTACTGTATGTCGAACCCATCGAAGTTGGTGTTTCAAGATAGTGACACCAATTGAATAATAGTCTATGTGTTCAAAGAAATTGCCGAACCTTCGTAATACTGACATAGTTATGGCACTTGAATTCAGCATTCCTTCTTGGAAAATGATGATTATACACAGAAAGTCTCTAACATCCTCAATTAAGAGTAAACAGGTTTCACAAGCATAGAACAAAATTGCTCTCACCAACGCGTTGTAGATCCGACTTTTTGCAAACAGACTAACATCACGAAGACGTCAAAGATGACCAAGGTTGATATAACCCGCTCTGGTTTTTACTGCACGTGAATTGATTTTATTAGTCATTACGCCACCAACACTTACACAGTTACGCGTAAACATGAACTTCTAGATTACTTCTATCTGCTTACTAACCAGAGTGAGTGCAGCTTCAGGGTCTTGCCAGTCTTGTAGATGTGCTTTGCACCTGGAAGGTGCACATTAAGAAAATATCACTCACATACTCAATGTCGGGATTTCAGCCACTATATATTGGTTGGATCATCTTAATTGGAAGTTCAACCACCAACAACAATGCAGTAGATGCGGAATTAGTCTCCCAGATCTGTTAAATTGTTAATTTGTTTCAAAGTTGCTAGTGTATTGTTAGATGTATTGTATCATAATATCTACACACATCATAAATTTTCGAACACAGTAGTAACAGTAGTAGGTCGTATTTGTCTTCTCACTCTTTATCTTCCCTTAAACCTTGAGATTAAAATTGGTTCATATCTGACTTCCTTCCTATACTATATCCTTATATACAACCTATCTTTTATATACTACCATCACTAAATTAACCATTTCTATGAATCCGGTGTTCATCTTGTTGTGCTAACGAGATATATTTATTTATTTAAATACATAAATATTCGTACAAGGAAGCACCAGATACATATGAGCCATACAAATCTCATTCGATTTGCTTGAGGGCTGTGATACTGCCCAGGTGCCCGAACTGAAGCAGGTGGTTTTCTTAGGGGCCCACACTCGGAGCCTTTGACCGAAAGATCTGATCCACAAGGCAGTAGAGCATCGTGAGGAGATGCAGTCCCATGGTAGCCGGTGATCAACGGTTGATTCGTACGCCATTTGTTCCCTCAGGATACTGGAGTCAGCCCATGTACACCATTGGTTTGGAATCGGGGTTTCCCAACTCCCCTAGGTGGACCCTCCGTGTCCACCAACCCGGTTAAAGCGCCTGACATTCGCTTTTCGTCCGCTCAATTTGGTAAACAACACCTTCGCCACGAGAAGGTAGTGAGTAGGACTTCCCTGGTAGAGGCTATATATTTGCTGGCCATGTGAGAGTATTTTGAGGAGAGTGGACTCTTCTAACTCTCGGCAGTACCAGGGCATTTGGGTGCTAAATAACGGAGCCACAAGGTGGCCCCTAACGAGATATGGCAACTTGGACGGATGCATATATGAGCGCGGTCCTATGTTGTAGCTGACTGACTGTATTTGTCTTTCTACTTACCTTAACAAATTGATTCAATAAAAACAATCTTTCATCATATGTATTTCTATTAATTATTATTGTTTTCAGATTCGTGTAGAGAATAGTATACTACGTCAACGAGTTCATGAATTACAACAAGAAAATCAATTATTATCAGCTTCTTTACAATTAGGCGCTGTAGCTGCTGCTGCTCATCTTAAAAATAGACAACCACGACCTGGTTCATCATTATCATCGATTAATATAAATACTACTAATGAAGGAAATATCATTACTACTACTAATAATAATAGTGGAACAATACCAGGAGTTGGAATTGTATCAACATTAACTAATAATGAAAATTGTACAATATTAAAAGATTCTATAGAATTTACAGATTATCAATCTCCACTTACTGTATTCACAGTAGATACTCCAAATCATCATCATCATAATAATAGTAATAATCATAGTGTAAACTTCAATCAAACGAATTCGAATTGTATAACTCCTACAAGTTCGCTTAATAATCATAATAATCAACCATCATGTTTTACATCATTAGCATCCATTAATTCTATTGGGGGATTTAATGTCAATCAAACAATATCACCAACGAATACATCATCATCATCAACTTCAGAAATAATTCATCAAGTATTATGTCCTTTAACTTTACCAAGTTTAGATCATATCACTATGCAACATACAGATAGTACTGTTACTACTACTACCATTAATGCTACTAATACTACTATTACTAATAATAATCGAGTATCCTAAGATTATACATACACATACGTCGTCCTCTTCCTAGTCGATGTTTCCCAATATGAAATCTACATCAAAGGACTAGGTATATATATATATATATATATATATATATATATATATATATATATATATATATTGATTTCTTAGAATTCACCTTTTCGACATTGATCTTCATTCATTGAATGGACAGAAAAAAGAAAGAAAATACATTGTGTCAAGTACCGTTTATTTCCAAAATGTCAACATGATGAAGCTTATTACATTCCTTTTCTATTACAACTATATAGTTTATTGATAAGATGAAAAAAAAAATGGTAGTACATATTTTTTATT